AAATTGTTGTATTACATTTGCTGAAGTTTTCACCAAATCCTGACAGTAGTACATGAGAGAGATAATCTGTGTAAAAATTAGGTCCCCCTGGCTTGTTCTAATGCTCCTAATGGCAATGGCAAGAATCCACAGGGCCGATACGTTTTATATTAATTAAGTTTTTGACCCTGACGTGATTTGAACACTACAATGACCCAGAGGAACCTGATTTTTACACAGCTTATCTATTTTATGTACTACTGTCAGGATATAGTGAACATTTCAGCAAACATGACAAAAACAATTTTCCTTAAAATGACCTACTGCAGCTTTGAAAATGTTTTGTTTTTTGAAAAGATTGACCTTGTGGTGCTATGGTAGCGTGTCTGATCAGAAGGTTGCGTGTTCAAAGCACGTTAGGGTCAAAGCAACATTAGATTATGTTATCATAATATTAAAGTGGGATGAACTTGATACAATCATCTTTTTTCTCATTCATAATTCGTAAAGGAGAATTTGTAGCTTAGGGGTCTGGTCCAACTGTTTTCTAGCTATTTTACCAAATTGTCTCATTGCCATCTGTTGTGTGGATGATATGCCTGTATTACAACAATTTAAAACAATGTGAACATAATTTGGATTTAATTGCGTGTTCAAATAACGTCAGGGTCATCGCATTAATTAAGCTAAGGTACATGAGGTCAGCTTTGATAATGTCTCCTCTCCTGCAAAATGTCAAGAGATTAAAACAAATAGTATAAAGATAAAAAATTTTGAGTATTTGCTTACTCTAAATTTCCCCCTGTTGCAGATACAGTTTAAAACATTGCATACTCATGACAGAAATCACACTGAACTATGTTTAACATTACTTCAGTCTGCTGCAGGCTAAGGTACGTGCATTTCCCCAAATAGTGGGACAAATTAAGGCTTCCCTATAATGACACCCATTAATAGCTGTTACTACAGCGCCATGACTTTATAATAAATCATTAATAGCTCAAGGCATTATAAGTTTACCATCTAACCAGAACTCTGACTAATGCACCAGAACATGAAAAAAGGAGTAAGACTTTAAGCTGCTGAGCCTCAAAACAAACATCGGGATCTGTTCATGGCTTTAATTGTGTCATGTTGTAACTGGTGGGAGACCAATAACAATCTAGTCATTTTTTGCATTATTATATGAATATGTGTAGTTATGATTCATATAATGTCTCTGTCATTGACAGACAGTGTGACCGACAACCTGTAGAGTGAACTTCACTGCTGTACCATATTTCATTTCATTTCAGAAAGCTGACAGGCCCCATCTGCAGGCCCTCAAAAGTATTACACCTTGTCTTCTCTCCAGGAATCTTCTTTGAGAGGATTAAGCCTAGAGCCTTTAATTGGTGTGTTTGTGGGGATTGGGCCCACTGTATGCTGTGAACACTGAGAATGGTGTTAGCACAGCCTTAGCACTCTGATTTTATGGATTTGCAAATGCTGCCAGTTGCTGTTTTACATACTCTTTCTTTGCTGTGGCAGACGTGTTTGTATAGGCACAGCCCATTGATAAAATATTGGATATTTTGAATGGGCGCTCACAATTACACTCAACTCTTTGGATAAATCAACATATTTTTAACATATTTCAAAGTAAAGTGAAGATTACACAATTCAACAGCCAGTTTATTGATTAATGGTAAAGATTGATTGTGTGAAGCTGGAACCGTTGGCTGGTTCCCTCTCTGGCAATATTGGTTTTATTTTTACTCCAGCTCATTTTTTCTTTATCTGACAGGATATCAATTTTATACCTTGGCAGGTTTTAATACCATTAAGTCCCCAAACCTCTATCTGATGCCTGCCAACGCTTGGCTGATGATCCTGTTAACAGATTTGGGGGATAAATCTTATCAGAATAATCAGATTATTTACAATTATGTACAGTGAGCCAGAAGGAATGAGGGGATGTTCACATAAACTCATTAGACTGACATGAGTGAATACACACATCTGATGCATTCTGGTGTGAAATGACAACAAATGGAACAGTATGATTTTAGTCACATCCCAATAATGAGGTGGGTGAATCCAGCCCTGCCTGAGCGCTGTTAAATTTGTGGTTTGGGACTGTGACCTCATCGTTGTTCATGTAAACACAGAGTACTGTGTGCTGTGTGCTTCTCACACCTGTCAGTTTCCCACAAAACCAACAGTGCAGAACTCTAGGTATGACCTTGTGGCGCAACGGTAGCGCGTCTGACTCCAGATCAGAAGGCTGCGTGTTCAAATCACGTCAGGGTCAAAGGTTTTAGGGCTAATTATGCAAATCAGCCTACATTCTCATAGTCCGGCCTCTTCCATCTACCTTCAGACAGTCTCAGTAAAACAATTAATGTGACACATTGGTTGAGCGTTGGTATTAGACATTCCTTTGTAAAGCAGAAATTCTGTCCTATGGCTTTCTTCTGCCTGTTTTCTATCTTACCAAATTGTCTCATTGCCATCTGTTGTGTGGATGAAATGCCTGTATTACAGCAATTTAAAACAATGTGAACATAATTTGGATTTAATTAAACTGTCTATTGCACTTGTATGGGGTTATTTCAACCCTGTGGAGCTCCATCAGTCCATCAGATAGATTAACATACTAAATGTCAAGAACGTGTATCTTGGTGGAAATGTGTGGGGCGAACATTCATTACATTTTATGTTGGGAAAAAAAATACAGATTAGCTGTCAGAATAAAGTTTCAGCAAATATTTCAAGAAATTGTTTTATAAACAATGACCTACTGCAGCTTTAGACAGACTTTTTTTCCTAGAAAAGTGACCTTGTGGTGCAATGGTAGTGCGGCTGACTCCAGATCAGAAGGTTGTTTGTTCAAATCACGTCAGGGTCAAAATGGTGTTTAATCCAAGGTAAAATTAAATGGAACACTGTTTCAAAACTATGTATGTGACATGTTTTCTGTCTCATGTAGTACTGTCAGAATATAGTCAAAGTTTTAGCAATATGACAAAAACTAGGTTTTTAACAATTACTTATTGCAGGTTTAAATATATTTTGTTGTGGCGCAATGATAGCGTAACTGACTCTAGGTCAGAAGGCTGTGTGTTCAAATCACCTCAGGGTCAAAAGCTTAATGAATATAAAGCACATCTTGTGTCTGGTCACATTTGACATACTGTCATACCGCTATTTTAGTTCAGGCCCTGTGGATTCTTGCCAATGCCATTAGGAGCACTAGAACGAGCCAGAGGAACATGATGTTTACACGCATTATCTGTCTCATGTACTACTGTCATGATATAGTGAAAATTTTAGCAAATGTGATACAATTTTATATAAATTACTTACTACAGCTTTAAACATATTTTCTTCATAGAAAGTTGACCTTGTGGCCCAACGGTAGCACGTGTGACTAAATCAGAAGGTTGCGTGTTCAAATCACGTCAGGGTCAAAGCAAACATTAGATAATGTAAACCTAATGTTAAAGTGGGATGAACTTGATGTAGTCTGCTTTTCTCTCATTCATTTTGGGTCTGTTCAAACTCTTTTATCAAATTGTCTCATTGCCATCTGTTGTGTGGATGAAATGCCTGTATTACTGCAATTAAAAACAATGTGAACATAATTTGGATTTAATTAAATGGTCTTATATATATATATATGTATTTTTATAAAAGTTACCTACTGCAACTTAAATGCATGTCATGTGAACAACAGTATACACCCCTGTTTTAGTTTAGGCCTGGTGGATTCTTGCAAATGCCATTAGGAGCACTAGAACGAGCCAGAGGAAACGGATTTTTTACGTAAATGATCTGTCTCATGTACTACTGTCAGAATACAATTTTCATAAAAATTACCTACTGCACCTTTAAACACACTTTTTCGCGAGGAAACGTGACCTTGTGGCGCAATGGTAGCGCGTCTGACTCCAGATCAGAAGGTTACGTGTTCAAGTTCACGTCAGGGTCAAAGCAAACAATAAACAATGCCATTGAATAGTAATGATAAAGTGCAGTCACCTTTGATTATATATACAGCATTTAGTTGATACTGTCAAGGTCTTGTGCTTGCAGATACAGCATTAAACGTTGCAGACTCATGTTAGAAATCACACTGAATATTTACTTTAATCAAATGTTGTGGGTTTGGACAAGCCGTGCACCTATATTTACATTTTGTATCGATGTAGTAGCCAAATGCTTCATCAGGTTTCCATTGAAAAGGAATGACCCCGACGTGATTTGAAACACGCCAACCTTCTGATCTGAGTCAGACGCGCTACCGTTGCGCCACGAGGTCCTATACAGGTCTTATATCAAATAAAGAGGATTAGAAACCCCTAAAAGAGTATGATGCAGTGGGAAGTAACGCTTCTTCTGCATGCTTGTATATCACCGTTTGCATCAATAAATCAAAAAACATAAACATAGCGAATAGGCCACATATGTAAAACCTTGCTAACACTTGTTGTTTCCCACAGGAGTCTCGTGGATATCTAAACACAGAATGTTATGACCATCATGTTTCACCTCCCTACAGATAAATGAGATTTCCTCAGCTCGCGTCAGCACCATGGACAGCTGTCAGCACAACAGCTGGCTCACGGGCTCACTTCGCGAGGCAGGTTGTAAACGCTGCGCTCTGAATGCGCATGTGCGCATGACATATCTCGTCTCCTTTCACACGATGCAACCTGAAATGTGTTCATACTCAGTTGTTCTCACTATTATTTGAGTCATGTCCTTGGTTTTAATATACAGGCTATGGCTCTAATAGGCCTATGGTACAAAGAGAGATGCATGCTGGGAAAAGTTTTACACACTGTTCACACACAGTCAGATGTTGCCTTTTTTATCATCAGGCTCATACACTTTCAATTCTGTCTTATCCTTCATCCAGCTGTGTCTGATAAAGATGGGCAGTTGTAATGAATACTGTAGATTTTGACATGTCAGTGGAAAAATCACATTTGTAAATAACGTAATTAATGAAGGCTGAACTCCATTTATCTGCTTCATTTTCAGGGTTCTGATTCTAACATTCTTACACTGTCATATCTTACTCAGACATCTGACTAGAACAGCCATTGTTAATGTTATTACTAACACCTGTGCTTTTCCTACTGTAAGTCAAACTATCTGCAGTGAAAAAGGCTTCTTGTTTGGGGCCCAATCCAGTTACAGTTGCTCTTTCAATCAGTTTGACCGACTGATCAGCTTGATTACAACAGTGACACAGCACATGAAAGAGCGAATTGGAATGGTAACTGCAACGTGGTGATAAAATGTCAGCATCAGAGCACACATTGATTGACAAGCACCCGAAATGACATATGGATACGCATTGACAAATGTTTACATAAAACCTTTCAGTGTTTTTATTTATTTATTTGACAAGCAGCAGGGTCATGTTTGTCACCTCATTTTTTCTTTACATTTGAAAGTAGATACAATAGTCAGTATACCAGTTTTATTACAATATTTTTTCCTAACTTCAGTACATTTAACAAAGAAAGAAAAATAAACACACAACAACTGCAAACGTGAGAAAAGAAAGCATGTTTTTTTAATGTGTAGCCACCAATGTGTCATTGATGTTACAACAACTACCTCTTTCCTCTTTCGGTTTTCTTTTTTCCTTTATTTTTCGGTCGACTAATATGTTTGTCGGCTCTTTCCTCTCGAACAGCTATAGGCATTTTCTTTTTGTCGTTTGACGCACAGGTGCGTGGCACTGGTGATGTTGTAAACAGCTTAAAATCAGAAGGTGGGTGGGGGTCGGGTGGGAAGGTGGTGGTGTTAGCTGGCTGTCTCACGTGATGCGATGACCTTTCTTGTTTTCAAAGATGGAGGCACCAGTCCTGCTTTTAGTCACCGCGTAGAATCACAGCGGACAGCGACAGTCCAAAACCTAAATGTATGAATAAGTCTGTTTTGTTATTTATTTCACGTTTTAAACCTGCATCTGCCGGTCAGTCACACAGGCGAGAGTTTGTGTGCAAGCGCTCCCGGGCTCTGCCTATGCGACGTAGCTGTACTCGTCTGCCGAGGTCTGGCTTCGCTCGATGTACTGCTTGTCGATGAGCACCTCGATGCACTTCTTGATCATGCTGATACTTGGGTTGAACCTGGCTTTGGACTGATTGATGACCTGCACACAGAGAAATTAGAAAAACAGTGATTAATCCAGTGTTACGAACGAGGATGCAAGATTGCTGCCACACAGCAATGTGTGTATGCTTTCAATATTTGTATCTAGAAGAACAACCTGTTTTAGATAAATAAATGTAATGACAATAATATGATCACGAATGACTGAAAAATACTGTTGGCTGACTTTGGCCACCAATCGAGCTGGGTTATGACCCTCAATACTTCTTGAGTCCTAACTGACACATCTGTATCATCAAGTACTAAAAGTTAGCACTGAATGCTTTGGCAGGACTTGTTTACATATTCTTTAAGCAGATATTTCCTAAATCAATTTATACTATTTCATTTTCACAAATGATGTTGTGCATCAGTACGTACTGTAAGTATATGTGATATGCAAGGATACATCTAGGGGCCCAAATGTGTATATAAATGTATATGTCTATTTATTTACAGAGTTTCAGATGGTTTCAACAGGTTAATTTTAAGACATTTTCAGACCTTTACGAATTACGAATGCAATTTAAGGCCTATTTTAAGTCCTTACTGGCAAAACACATTTATATATATATATATATAACTAAGTACTCATATACATATATTTCTAAGGTATGTGAAAATCATATAAGCTTCAAATTAAATATCTTTAAAACAGCATATGCCCAAATTCACAGTAAATCCCATTGACAGATAGTTCAATAAAAAGTTTGCTGCCTGTTTGAATGGCATGTATGCACAAACTAACTTTGTTTCTGACTTTGTTCTTAGTTTCCCCTAGTTCCCCAAATGATCAAAAATAAACAAAAGCTTTTGAATGGAGGTTGACTTCCACCCACCTCCTGGATGAGGGCGTTGTGTCGGAGCACCTTGCGGGCCTTCATGATTCTCACTATAGCAGCTTGTAAATACATTTTGCGGTCCTCGTCTACGGCGCTCCTCGTCTGCTCCATCTCCTGATGATGAGACAGATGTGGAACAAGTGTTTAGACTTCAACAGAGCTGCCAAACAGCAGGGTAACAGCGAGGCTTGAGAAGGATGGACAACCATTTGTCTGACCTGTGGTGTGTCTTTCTGCATTGACGTTGTGATCTTGAACTTTGTCCTTTTACTGGTGAAACTCATATTTAGTGAAAACGTGGACTCGGTTTCAATCTCCTCCTGTGAGCAGAGCGGAAGAAGAACAGCATGTGTCACTTAGTTGTTTGGAACATAAACAGAAGTCGCTAAGGACTTGACAACATCTGATACAAATAAACATAAACGTCCTGATCAATACACATTACAAAACCACACCTTTTGCGAGTCGTGGTTGAGCATCTTGACGTCCAGCAGGGACTTGATGGTCTTCTGTAGCTCCTTCTCGTTCATCTGGGTGCCGTCCTGCAGCTCCTTGTAGGTCACCGTCTGGCTGTTGTTGAAGGCCAGCAGCACTGCCATCTGGTAGGTGGTCACCATGGCAACGTAGGGCTTGGACAGGTAGTTCATTTTCACCTCACCTGTTTGAGACGAGTACACACAGATGAACGGCGGTACATAACATTAAACCAACTAGCTCACCATTTGCCCTGTCTTTCCAGAATATCCTTCATTACATTATAGTAATTTTACTCCATGAATAAACCTTTACATCTTACATAATGCAGCTTTAAATAGTGTACAAGTGTGTTTGCGCTACCTGTGCAGAGATAGTGCAGCCAGGTCAACTTCCTCCCACTGAAGTGCTGATTATAGAACAACTCAAACTGTAAAAGGAGGTGAAAACAGAGTTTATTTCGCAACGATCTCCTTTGATCAGAATGAACCTCAACAAGTAACAATTCAGCTTTACCCCTCAAAAGTCAACTCACCATCTGCACGCTCTTCTCTAGTTCTTGAGGGATGGCGAATGTGGAGGAGGGGACGTGCGTGAGGGGCCAGGCTCCAGCCTGAAACCACATGGCACATACCACAACATTAGACATTCAAACTGACAACGTGAGAACAAAAAACTGTGGTTGGTCAAGCTGACCACTTCTCGTAATATTTTTAGATTTTTAAATCCAGACGTAGAGGGGCCGACAAGCAAGGCCCTGTCTCTGTTGTTGAGTGAGGGGTTTCAGCTGCATCGGAGTCCTCCTCACCTGTAATACGTAGATCTGGAAGCTGATGCCCAGGTCCACCACTGTCTCCTGTGTCTTGATGAAATTGTTAAACTTGTTGTTGAGGTCGGCACTCACGCTCATGTCTGTGTACATTCGGTGGAGTTTGCTCGTGAACTCGTAGCCACAAGCTTGCTGTAGAAAAAAGGGGGAGGACAGAGAGTGTTGGAACAGAGTGGTAATACAGAAGGAAAAAGTAAGCAAAAGAGAGAACCGTGGGAGATTTAATGAGTGTGTCCCACAGGACATTCAAAAGAATCACATGCTCTGTGGGCTGGTTCCACGTCCAACTTAGACTCAGAGTGCTTTTTAGATGAGGCACATCCATAATGGAAAACCGAAAAAAGAGCAAGTCCATCCGTACCATAAAATGTGGTTTTAGTTAATGACGTTCAATGTTTGATTTACCTTTAGTTTGTTGATCATGGCTTCTTCTGAGTCCATTGACAATGATAAACCATGTATTAACCGCTTTGCTAGCATTCTGGCATAAAACTGTGGAAGACAAAGAAAAACAAGACTTAAGATCCTGTTTAAACAGAAAACTATTTCAAGCTCAAAACTTCAGTCCTAGACAAGGTTTGTACATTAGTATGTGACAAGATATTTGAGGAAAAGTTTTTGTTATATTCCAGCATAAGAAGGATTCTGGTCACCTTTTGAAAGATGTCCTTGTCG